TATTGATGCAGCGGATCAAACCCTGCTTCAGGATGTCTCTTCCTTCCAATATGGACCTCCAAACTTGGCTCAGAGCGCTGCCAAGGTGAGCATTTAAAAAGGTGTCATTAGGGTAGTATATACCTTTGAGCAAACGCGCACACATGCTATCAAGGTTCTGCAAAATGTGCCAAGCCTACCTAGCAAGCATTGAGAGATTAAAAAGCTCGAAGTACTTGAAACCTAGACTCCCCATGCCTTTCGATTGAGTCATCTCCTTCCACGAAACCCAATGAGGTTTCCTTTTTACCTCTTTGCTACCCCACCAAAACTTTCTGATAAGCTTATTGGAATGTTCACACAACCCCCGAGGAAGCTTAAGACATGGCATAGAATAAACTGGCACTACCTGAGCTACTGATTTCACAAGTACCTCTTTTCCTGCCGTGGACATGGTGGTCTCAATACACCCCCGAACTTTGCTCCATAGTCTATCTTTAAGATACTTGAATGCGCCGTTTTTGTTGTTACCTATGTGAGACGACATTCCAAGGTATTTTTCATTAAGGGTTTCATTGGGTACATTTAATAGGATCTTAATTTCATTTCGAGTACTCTCCGGAACCCCCTTGCTGAAATAAATTGATGACTTCATATTGTTGATTCTCTGCCCAGAAGCTTGGCAATAGAACTCCAGAACTTGGTTCACCTCAGTAGCACCCATACTATTTGCCTTGAAGAACAACAGGCTGTCATCAGCGAATAAGAGATGCTTTACTAGTGGTGCCAACGGTGCCACCTGCAACCCCTCCAAATTGGATAACTCGCTTCTCGATTTTAACAGGTACGACAGGCCCTCTGCTACTATCAAGAACAAGTACGGGGATATTGGGCCCCCCCTGTCTGATCCCTCTAGATGACTTAAAAGCCTCAAGCTTCTTCCCATTAAAGAAGACAAAAAAATTAACTATGGTAACAAGGCTCATCACAATACTCACCCAATGTTCCGTGAACCCCATCTTTAGCATAATAACTTGGAGGTAGGGCCATTCAACTCTATCGTAGGCCTTCATCATGTCAAGCTTTGGGGCGCAGGATTGATGTTTCTTTGCTCTGTTCTGTTTCATAAAATGTAGACATTCATAGGCCATGATAATGTTGTCAGTAATCAACCTACCAGGTACAAAGGCTGATTGTTCCTCTGAGATTATATCTGGTCAAACTATCTTTAGACGGTGAAGCAATCTTGTAAAGTACATTGCATAAGATGATTGGGCGGAATTGAGTCAGGAGTGTGGGATTTTTCACATTTGGAATAAGTACTAGAGTACTCAGCTGACTCCTTTCCCTCAACAATTTTTAAAACCGCTTTGGTGACCTCATCTCTGCAAACATCCCAATGGTGCTAGAAAAATGTGCTGGAAAACCGTCGGGGCCCGGTGCCTTTGTGAGATACATTTGAAACAACGCAGTCTTGACCTCCTGAGCACTATATGGAGCGTTTAAGCTATCATTCATCGTCGTCGTTACCTTCCTTGGCACCGTATCTAGGACCCGATCCATGTCATGAACCCCTTGAGATGTATACAAATCTTTGTAGAAGTCTGTGGCCATTGTTTCCATCTCGCCTGTATCCAAGGTCAACTGCTCATCTGGGCACTGGAGTGATTTAATTTGGTTCTTCCTCCTGCAACGGCTAGCCCGGAGGTGAAAAAGTAAGTATTTTTGTCCCCGTGCATAAGCCATTCTATTTAGCTCTCTGGCGCCACAAAATCTCCTCACTGTGAAACAGTTCCACCAGATGATCAACAATTTTTAATTCATCCGAAGAGGGGCCAGATCGTCCTCGAGAGTCCACATCTCTTGTAGCTGACACTGCAACTAGCGAATCTGCAAGCGAATATTTCCAAAGTGCACTCGATCCCGGTGTGTAAGGTCACCAGCCAGGTTTTTAAGCTTGCCTCCCACTTGTGCTACCGAATTAATCAGGAACTGAGTCCATCCAGCATGCACTACATCCACCAGAGCTGGGTCACGCCCCCAACACAACTCATATTTAAATCTGTGTGGGGCCCGCCTGCATGCATGCATGTCTTTTAGCTTCAGGTAGATCGGTACATGGTCTGAAGAAGCTGCTTCTTTATGTTCAGTGATTGCATCCGGGAAGGCAACACACCAGGCCATGTTTGCTACACTTCTATCAAGATGCACTTTGGTGTGCGTTCCTCCAGAAACTTTCTTCTCAAAGGTCCAGCTCTTTCCAATGTAACCAATATCCGTCAAGCCACAAGTGTCCAGCGCATCACGAAAGGAGTCCATTTGAGCTTGGCTTCGGCAACACTGTCATGTTCGTGTGCGTGGAGTATCTCATTAAAGTCACCCATCACAACCCAGGGTAGGTTGCTAGAGCCGACAATCCTCGTAAGCATATCCCAAGTTTTATGGCGTTGGTTAACCTGTGCTTCACCATAGACAAAGGTGACTCTAGATTTTGTATCAACAAGCTCATCGACTATCAAGTCAATGTGATACTCAGAATAACCAATAACTTCAAACTTTATTTCGTCATTCCAAAAACTCCTAAGCCACCACTTTTACCACAACTGCTAACATCAAAACTTTTATTAAAGCCTAATGATCCTACCATATTCTCTACTCGAGAGCCATCAATTTGGGTTTCAACATTGCATAAGATTGAGGGGCAAAGTTGCCTCGTGAGATCACGAAGCTCCCGAACTGTCGTGGGTTTGCCAGCCTCGTGACAGTTCCAGCACAGAAGATTCATTACGCTAGATGCGACTCCCCATGGGAGCCCGCCAAACGCGCATCACTGGTTTTGTTGGAACTGGGTTATTTGCCTGAACTTCATCTTGACCAGATGGATTCTGTTTAGTCCTCTTCGGATCTTGCTTCGGCGGGGGACTGGTCGGGTCCTCGGGTGGTGGAAGAAGCCGTGGCTTGTTTTGTTTCTTCACAAGAGTAGGTATGGCTTCCGCTGTTTTTGGATCAGCGACAATAGCTGCACCCCTCTTCCTATTCATATCCCCCTCCTCCATAGTAACATCTGTTTGAAAATTGTCTGAATCCTCTTGAACAGTGGGCTCGAAGGGATTCTGCTCATGAGTTCCACAGCCACGTCCTCTACCAGCTCGGCCCCTAACTCGGCCTCCTCTGGTGTTGTTTGCTTCTCCTGGACC